TGATTAAATGGACCATATAACTCATAGCCGCGGCAGACAAATGCCGGAAATCATATTCAAAAAATAAGTGTCATGAAATTATCTATCAAATTATAATAAAAAAAATCATTCGTACAATATTTCTGTGTTGTATTATCATTTTAAGTTCTCATACAGCAAAAAAAAAAACACCCGACAGAACTTGGTGATTTTTAAGATCACCACCCTACGAAATAACTCAAAATTATAAAGAAATTTAAGTTCCTTTTAATTTCCTCTCTTTGGTCATAGCCCTTACTACTATATTTTTTGCTTAAATTGAAAAAGTAGTTCAGTGACCATAACTGTTATAATAGAGCTCTTATACTCTTATTAAGCTTACTGACTGATGAATTGATGGCATCTAGTCACGTTAATACATTAAATATATAATGTCCAAAAAGTAAATAATTTCTATCTGGCTACCTAAGTGTAAAGTCAAATTGTATATGACACTACGGAAAAAAATGTGCAAAAAGTGGTAAGAACTGGGCATCACTGGTTAAAAGTATTGAAAAAATTAATTTTTTGCCCGATAATGAATAAAACATATATTCTCACATTTTTCTTAGTGTATTAAAAAAAAATTTGAAAAAATTTATAAGGGTAATCATTTAAACTAATAAATGCCTTATAAACGTATAAATTTATTTACTTTATAAGTTAAGTGTCAAATCTTGTAAGAAAAATCGTTTATACAAATTTGATAAATTTACACGAAAATTTTACCGAATAAATTTATTGCATAAATTTATCTTTTGTCAATACAGAGTTGCATGCCAACACAAGCAAGTCATTTACACAAATATCTTTGTAAATACTATTTAGTTAGGACTTTTTGCTCAATTTCGGTATTTTGTTTTATTTATTTATTGATAGTGAGAAAGTTAATCTATGAAGCTTACATAAATATTTAATATTTCACCGATATTGGCTAAAAGTTTGGTTGAAAAAATTGCACTGGTAAGCATTCCATTTTGTGCTGTTATAATTATTGCTGATATAAATAGTGCTGTCATACAGCTAATTGATAAATTTACACAAATATTTCACTAAGTGCGTTTATATAACCGTGTACCTAAACGCATAAAATTATACATTTGATAAATTTATATGCTTAGGGCCATGTTATGCAGAGTGTCTCGGGCACGGCATGAGTACAATTGTTGTTGTTTTCAATGCAAATTTTAAATTTGAGAATGAGAGAAAAAAGAATATGGCCGTTCAAACTCCGGCATGAGAGCCGGCGTATTTGTGCCCCGGCACTAAGGCAAAACAGTGTTGTTTAGTAATAAATTTCAAAATTTGCGCCTTTTAGGAGCAAACTACTACAATTCTAGTACGTTTTGGAGAAAAAATGGCAGTAATCAACACAGCATTTTTTTTATAAATCGCTAATAATATAATTATTACACTTTCCGATTTTAAAGAAACGCGTAAGTACTGTTAACAATTATTATAAGATAATATGATAATAAATTAACATTATTACAGCCTCTATGAGTTTTTTCATGCGAGTTATTTTTGGTGGTAAATTGAAAGTGAGCATATCTAAATTTCCTTTTAAATTTAGGCACTACCAAGAAGTACCAAGAAGTAGTAAAAATATAAAATTGGCAATACTGATGTGACACTCTGCATAACATGCATTTGCGGCATAGCCCGAAAGAGCGTAATTTGCCGTGCCCGAAACACTCTGCATAACATGGCCCTTAGATGAGAGCCCTTAATATAATGCTGATAACAAATAATACTTAAATCTATATATATTCATAAATTTTTTTCAGTGTATTGAAAAAATTATTATTTTGGCCGATAACGCATAATACTAAATAAATCTATATATGTACATATATTCACACATTTTTCTCTATTTAAATGCAAAACTATATTATTTATGGATATAATAACACCAAAGATTTTATACAACAAAAATATCTGTCCGATATATTCCACGACGTGTTTTTACTTGTTTTGCTTTTGACATATGATAAAAACTAGACTAAAACAGAATTCAAATATACTGTTTTTACCCGCTTCTTTTGTTAACATAACATGCCTTAATTTTTGAAGAGGTTACTATGAATAATACTGTATAAATACATAGACTCATTGATTTTTTTCAACGAATTTGTTAAAAATTTAGTAGAACTGATTGTAATAACTTATATTCTTACACTTATATTTCCTTTTTCTTTCCAAGAATTAAGTTTCACACGAAAACGTACTCTAATGCCAAGCATATTTACTGGAAAAAGCTCTCTAATATCATCCTCTATTAAATGTTGTAAGTCACTGGCTTCCAATCCACACTCTAAAAATAAATAAATTATTTTATAATTTGAAGAAATATTTCAGTATTTATTACCAATTATTCTATTTAGAGCATCATATCCCAATTTAAATACGTTTAAAATAATTTCTTTTAAATCCATTTACAAATATTTTCGATATCAGTTCTGCCGCGTTACGTATTCCACTATAAATGACCTCCGACTACTACTGAATATATTCGTTCGGTGACTATATATCGCAATACAAAGAAAAAGACTAGAAACAAAACATTTCGTTTTCTGCATTACATTATCTTCTCGAATTTTTATTTGTGTGCCCGCACGGGTTGTTTTTACTTGAGTGAATAACACGGAACGTGTACAGTAAGCAAAGCAAGAGCGAGTATAAAATTTTCAGTAGACTTTGTAGGTATGACTGAATTGTAAAACGAATCCGATATTCTGAGCAGAATGAGTCATTGGGTAAAATGACTTGTTTGCGAAGCGAGTGTTGTACACGTTTTTTGTACTTGAGTGAATCCGTTTGCCATCAAGTGGGTACTTGGAGTATACAAATGCGTTTCTCGTGTAGATGTCAATTTTTACGTTAGGGAAAAATTTTATGTTTCTTTACGTTAATTTATACATGTTGTGTACATATGTATATACGCGTGTATATTAAAATTTGCACACTGGTAAAAATGATGTGTGAAATAAGAGTATAATGAAATATTATTGATATACTTGTCCAGTGCGTGCATCTTCAAATTTATACAGTTAATAAAATGAAATATCGAATAAAAGTATGGGGGATATATATGGATTTTTTTTTGTATTAATAAATGCTTTATAAAACTTATAAAAATAAATTTTTGTACAAAAGTTTTTTAATGTCTGAATTTTTTTTTTTTAAACAAAATTAAATTTGACCGGGCATATAGTTTCACATAAAAGAAAATAGTTATTTTATACTTGAAAATAAAATTTACTGTAGATTGTAGTCAAACAAAAGGGATGTCATGAGATTTCTGATCTCAGCCGTTTTTGCAGATTTTTTATAGAGAATATCTTAAACAAAATTATGAACGAAGCAGCTCTAAAGCCTAGATTATAGACAATATATTTGCTGTAATAAAAATTGACACCATAGATAGTACACTAGATACCTACTAATATTAATAAATACTAAATACAGTAACCTATATAGATACATATTATTCAGAAAAGACGAGAAATTGGTAAAAGTACATTATTAGACACAACAACCAACTCAAAATAAATTGGTATCAAAAAACAATTTCCACTGGACGATATATTAATTTTAATTCTCAACACCCTCATCATATAATTCGGAATACAGATCAAAATTTGAATAGACGTTTATTCAGCATGAGAAATTCATTCAGCATCGATATACGACATTATATATAAAATTCCAAAAAATAAATTAAGAAAGAGAATTGGTGGTGCTAACACCAGCGGAGAGCATTATACTCTAAATATTGAAGAAGTTCAGATCATCAATAAAGACTCAAATGCGGCACATAATTTATATTCCGGACAATCAAAGACTCACTATAAAAAGGACAAAGAAGGACTTGCACAAATTTATAGGTCATGAGTCAAATAAAAAAATTAAAAATAAACAAATAAATATAAATAACAAATAAATTGCTTTAGTTTTAAAGTACGGCGATCCACTACCTTCATTGTAGCTGCTTTCTGTAAACAGTTGACCTTAAATGTATAAAAGACATTCAGTCTTTCCAATGAATTTCCGAATGTTTCTCGCTAAGCAATTCCTAATATCAGATTTCGATTCAAGCATTCGACCGAACAATCAAATAATATGACTATAAATTTTATTCATTCTAGATAGAAATAACATTCTTTCGAAATGGTAGCGCGGTTTATAATGAATCATCAGATAACCTGCTAACAACCTTAGCTGTTGCTAACGAAGGAAAGGTATAACTTCGTAGTTAAAAAGACGACCCAGTTATTTAACATACGTAAAATAAAGTAACCTTTTTGTAAATGTGTATGAATTCGTTCATGTGGCTAAATATGAGAAAGTACCCTGAGAATAAAAAAACTAGATGAATTAAAAAGGACTTGAAAACTAGAACTAACTCTTTTAATATCGAATTTTAAAAAAAGTTTTCGAAGTTCATCAGCACAGACAACAATTATTGAAATCATTGGTAAGGTTTATTGCTTTCAAACACACTACTAATTTAAATGATATCTGTATAAAGTAAAACTAATAATAAATATATTAATAATAAATATAAATAATACTTTTTTAATACTGAATATTATAATATAATGGTTTTTGTACGATCGGGACCTCCAAATAACCTAATAATAAATTTTGCTAGTCCTATAACTGAATTTTTATGTGACTTAATACAGAAAGTTATTAATTATATGTTATAATAAAATACAATTTATTTAATATGTAGCAATGCTTTTTATTGGATACTATGTATTTTATTTTTTTATTGAGCCCAAAATATTATATTTGTTTTGAAAACTCACGTTTCTACTAAAATTTAGAAAAATGTATGTACATCAATTAATTAATTAAATGTAAAATAACTTAATTTATAACCTATTAATAAAACTGAACTTACGAAGGAATTTAAATTATATTAGAATTATTTATTATATGTGTTTTTGGAATACAAGTTATAAATAAGTTATGTTGTATGTAATATAAATTGCACTCGTACACAATCGCGATATGTAATGTTATTTAAAGTAAGGTAATAAGTTTAAATAATTGTATCAAAGAACTAAGAGTTTTAAAAAAAAAACGATACGTATCTTGTAGACTGATTTCCATTACAGTACAGAACTGATGCAAAACAACGGTACTATGTTAAATTACTAAGCCATATGCAGTGTCTAACACTGAATATAATTTGAAAACAATCCTTAAAAAAAATAGGAAAACAATTAGTATATACTAACTTCTAATCTCGTTGAATGGTTAAAAATAATTTTTATTTTGAAGTTTTGTAGCATGGGAAACATACAGAGCATATCATGCAGACAAAAATCAAAAAACATAAAATTAAAAAAATGTAGAAAAATAATTGAAAAAAAAATAATCTACCATTTACGACCTAATATCAGTCATATGTATACATGGACCGTTACTTCTTAAAATAGTCGTCTTTTTCGTAACTTTTTCGTTTTGTAATGCATAAATAGTTAGAGAGTAAAACAATTAAAACTTCTAAATATGGGTGAGTAATTTTTAAGGATTGATTTTGGTACATGTATTTTTGATACTTGGTACACTTGATTAATTTTGCCAATTGAAAATTTGTATACATGAACTCTAGCACTAAAGATTAATAATTTTTTTTTCATTTTTTTTTAACTATTACCTGTGTTCTTTTTAAACAATTATTTTTGATGACTTAATTTTCACTTTGCAAATACGTTAACATTACACTCAAATTTGCATTTTTCAAATCATTAGCAGTGTCAATTTCAAATAAGTATTTCTGAATCAGTGTCCAAGGGATCTCACATACTTTAGGGTATTTCAAATTCAGAACATGGTACAATTTAAAACAAATATCCAAACTATCCAAGAAGGAATTAAATTTGTATATAGTTCCACTTAAGTAAATGTAAAAAGATTTCAAGCCTTCTGAAGGATTTCCTTCCACTATTAAGTATGGTTGAATTCCTGAATTTGTTTCATAATATTTGCTATTTAGTTCTTCAATTTTTTTATGGCAATCGTTGATTGAAAGTAATTCCATTACTAAGCCTTCATTTGCATCCTCAATTGATACCTTTTTTGATTTATTCCCTTCACCATTCTTAAAAACTGCAGTTGGTAAAAGAACTGAGTTTAGTAGTAAAGTTAAGATATAGTCTTCGCAATCTAAAAAAATAGAATTTTGGTTTATCTGTTTTTATTAACTGAAAATTAAAACTTTACCTAATTTTTTTGTAATTTTGGACAAAACGAAGAGATCCCTAGATTTGCTATTACGAATGTTTGTTTCATAATACAAGCGTACTCTATTCTTGAAGTCACTCCATTTAGTTTTTAATAAATTTTGTTTTTTTGGAAATAAAAATCCAAAATCGATGTTGATCTATACACATAAAAGGCAATTAAAATAATACAATCAATCAATCAATCTACGTAATTAATAAATTAATAGACTGACCAATTGCGGAGCTCTTTCATCTTTCAGCTTAGGCCATTGAGATAAAAATTCAACATATGTAAATGTTGTAAGATCACTTTGTCGTAAAGTAAAAGTTTGCCGCCATTTATCTAGTACTTCGTCCCAGGAAATGGTGTCTTTTGATAAATCATTTTTTAAAGAAAGGTTGACACTTATATCCATATATTCGACAGCTTCAGTTTTAACCACAACCTGATCCATTTCCATAGATTCATCGTTTTCAAAAGCTGCTTTATGACTTTCGCTTAATTTACGTAGTTTTGTTCGAATGTTAAAATATTTTGAAAACAACTTCCCGCTGGGACTTTTCTTTCGTTGACGAGGAATGTAGTAATAGTCCTATTATATAAAAATTGCACAAATGAATTATTAATATTAAATTTTTGTAATTAATTTGAACTTACATAGTTTTTCTTTTCACATGGAAACAATTGAATTATTTCGTCTGCTAATGTTTTCATATCTTCTGGTTTAAGTTTACGTTTCTGGTAAATGCAGTACTCATCTAAAATAATTTCAATTATTCCTTCTCTTTCTTTATTGCTAAGATTTGAATTTTCTTCATAGTATTGGAGAATCCTTCTGCCATTCGATGATTCTTGCATAATTTGCAGTAAAGACTTAATAATTAAAGTCATTAACAAGTATAAATGAAGTAAAAGTGTATGTTTCTTACCTTTAGCGATGGTTGTGAGTTTTGACTAGATTCCGTTAAATTTTCAGCATCAAACGAAGTATCTGAAGATAACTAAAATAAATTTAAAAGAAATTAAGAAGAGTCATACATTCAAAAAACATAGATAGAAGAGGATACCAATAACATCAATATGAGTTAACTGCTACTGCTACAAAACAACACATCTAGAATATAATTTAATACATTAATCCACAATAAATAACCTTAATTTTAGGATTGAAAGATTAATTGTTCAATTAATCTAAATCCATCCAGATAAAAATAAAAAACTTTGAAACGTTAGCAACTTCATACAGAAAATGACTAAATAAATAAATATAAATACAAAAACTAAATAAACAGTTCTTTATTTTAAAAGTTTAAGATAATAGCCCTTAAATAATAAAAATAAGCAAATAAAAGTAGAAAAATCAATTCAAAAAATTAGGATATTTGAACTGGAAACACTTACTGTATTGAAAAACCTCTTCATTTTACATCCTTAATGAAATCATTTATAAGAGAAAAATTAAACAACATGAAAGCTAAGAGACATATATTTAAACATTGCAATGTTTCAACGTTTACAAATTTTAAAGAATAAGTTATGGGTAAGTTGTGGATATCGAAAAACAATGATTTAACTAAACTTGCCCTATACTTTAGTCATTGCAAATAACTTATTTTATATTTTAAATAGATCTGAACTTAAATTAAGCACTTCTTTCCTAATTGCCCCCACTTAATTAACCTTGGGGAAAAGAGGTTACCGCCTGTGTCCTCTACAGTTTTTGTAAAAAGCAGAGCAAAATGTCTGCCCATTTAATCTACTAAGGCTTTGCATTTGTAGAAAATGGGTACATTTTCCATTCGGATTTCTATAGAACGAAGTGATCAAGCGATATTTTCTAATAATAATAATAATAATAGCAATAATGAATATTTTTTTTCTTTTATTTATTGTTGTTGTAGCTCACTACTTTCCGAAAAAAGGACTTTATTTTTTCTATTTTTATTATAAAGTGTAAAAAATTGATTATTTTATGGATAGGTCAATATAGCAAAAATTTTTATGCTAATAAATTTTGAAGAAGTTTAGCTATAAGCTATTATTATTATAAATTAGGATGTATCTATTATGTATATTTAAAGTTTATTTCTAAATTGCAAAATCAGATCAATGAAATTTTACACATAATGTATTTGGGAACAGAGCTTCAATATAGAGCTGGAATAATTTACACAAGTTAAGTTTATCCTAAAGTAGCGTGCGGCTGATACTTTCCATTATTTATAGAAGTACGAATTGACAGTGTTAAAACACAAATTTGTTTAAACACAACTTTTTTTTGTTTAGTTACTTTACATATATTATGTTATTATCAGCAACAAAACTAAAATAAAGATTATTATGAAATTAGTATGAATACTATTCATACTTAAAATGGCATGTTCGTTGTTGATAATGGTTCGGTCGCAACTAAATTCTGTTGGTCTAACTTGTCAGCGGATTTTCTTCGGGTTACGTTTGTTTACAAATTAATTTTGTAATTTTGTTTTTACTACATGTTCATAACAACGTTTTCGGTTTTTCTTTTGTGTTATATTTCTTTCAATACATTATTATATGGTCGAGTTGGGTCTACATGTTTTCTTTAATTTCGTAATGATTAGTTAATAAATGTATGTATATACACATACGTGCATTCAAATTTTAATTAAATTTTTGCTAAACACACAGTAAAACTTGTTGTACAAACTAATTTGTTTAAAATTTCTTACTTTTTCCTTCCAATCATTTATTTTCGCACGAAAACGTACTCTAGAACGAAGCATGTTTAATGGAAAAAGTTCCCTTATGTCATCTTCTGTTAAAAATTGTAAATCATCAGCTTCCAATCCGAAGGCTAAAAAGAAAATGTGGTTATTGTAAAATTTGTAGGTATTTATAAATATTTATTACCAATTATTCTATTTAGAGCATCTTCTCCTAATTTAAACTCGTTTAAAATTATTTCTTTTAAATCCATTTATTAACACTTTAAATATCGTTTTAAGCACATAAAATAACGCATTCGACAACACTCGATGTACAACTAACGTCGTTCTTCTTTGGTCGATTTCATTGTTGCTCTTATTCGCCGCTCACACAGAGAAAAACAGCAGTAAACAAAACAGAGAGCACAACAATTTTTCTTTTTATTGCTTCACATTGCTTCGTGTATTTGTTTTTGTATGGCGCACATTGCAACGCAAAGATTTTAACATTTTATTTTAATGCGTTCATTTTAAATTTTAAAATTTATTTACCAGAATGTTATTTATATGTTGAATTTGGGTGTAGTTTTCATTTATTACTTTATTATATATATATATATTATTAATATTTTTATAACAATTTAATATATTAATATATTTAAATATATTAATATTAAATTAAAGAGGTTTTTCGAACAGTATTGAACTACAACAACAACAATTATTTTTCACATTATTTTAATTAATTGAATCTTTGGCTGTTTTGAGTATTGCCAAATACTGTTTTGAGTATTGCCAAATACTGTTTTGAGTATTGCCAAATACCCATCATCAGCCGTCTTGGGAATCATTCTTGTAAATCTCGTAAATAATTCTTTTTTGAGACTGCAAGTATCGTGTTCTGCCAAATTTGAAGCTCAGAGTCAGTGCATCTTAACCAACTGACCCAAAGCCGTACTTCACTGTTATGTTCGCACATTTTTCTGGAGTTTTGCTATGGAAGTTTTATTAACAAATTGACTTGTGTTTATATTAGAACGAAATCATAAATTGGCTGTAGAATAATTGTATTAATTACTTAATAAATAAATTTATATAAATTAATATATATTATATTAATAACTAATTTTATGGTAAAGGTAACAGATGTTAAAAAAGTTTTTAAACTAAAATGAATTATTTCTAAAGTATATTTGTCGAAATTATAATATTCAACCCAGAGAAAATTATATAAATAGCTTATTGGTTAAATATATCTTATATACAAACATAATTATAGTAAATCTATGTGCTGACGTAATACTTTATTTCAATTTTTCAACAAAAACGCAATAGTACGCCTGTGTTTTATTATACTAGAATTGAAATGTTTATAAAAACGTTAATACTTCTTATGGGAAAAATGTCTGCATCACGTTTGTTTATAAGAAAATGTTTAAAATTTTCTAATATCCCTATGAATATTTGATTGATATTAAATGTGTTCCCATAAACAGGCACTATAATAATTCTAATTTGTGCTATATTTTACTTTATTATTACTTTCTTCACTTTTCTTATTTTTTATTCTTTTTGTTAAATTTGCGTTCTCGAACAAAAACTATTAGAATGAGACGTGAGATAAACATATATTATTGGATTATAATGAAAAAGATATTATGCCATATACTACATACATACATATGTGAGAAAAAATAAATTTACTGGTAATATATTTATTAACAGAAATGACCGATAGTAATTCTATGTTTAAAGTCCACATTTTATAAATATGACTTATTAATTTTTTCAAAAATTGCTTTTAATATTTAAGTTTTTTTTTAACAAACATTGAAACGAAAACCAATTTTTGATTCTCAGGAATTTCTAGTCCTTATTTTTATTAAAACTGCAACCATTATCGGCATAATGGAATCTTTATTATGTTTTCAGTTTAGATTATCCCACTATATTAAAAATCTTATATAATAATTCGAGACGGAAACACATTTAGAGACTTCTCAATTTACATAAATAAAAAACTGCTAGAACAATTTTTAAAATAGTAGAACTTTAGGCATTTCAATTTGGTAGGTATTATACACATTGACAAAATATTAGAAGTGAGAAGGATCAAATATTAGTGAAAAAACACAGATTGGCAAAGTTCGTTAAAGTTATACTCTATGAACATTTTTATTAAAGCAGTATTTTACATTTTTAGTAATGTAAGATTTTTCTTTGTAATTTTCCGCTATAACATTGAACATTGTATATATTGTTAGTTTCGCTGAAGATGACTATCGAAGATATCGAAATTTTTAATAAAATAAAAATTGTTTTGAAATATAAACAATAAATTATACTTTTTTTTATATTTATTTAAAGGACTGATTAGCCTGCTAATAAATTATTATATCATTTTTAGTATATTATTTTAAAATGTATAATTTTTTTATAAACACTAAAAAATTATATCTAATGCGATTAGCAGGTTAAGCAGAAAAGTATGAGTTAAGAAATTAATTTCTTAAATAAAATTTATTAATAAATTTTTCAATAATCTTGAATTTATGGAACCAAGACTAAGAGCATATTTTCATTCTTTATACATTTTACAATTTATACGTGCAATAGCTGTACCTATGAAGATTTTAAAGTAGTGTAGTTACATACATTTTGAAGGGTACCAGTTATTTGCTTGAATTAATTTCATTTGAAGTCTGTATTTTATTGATTTTAGAAAAGTAGGCTCATTGATACTCATTGATATCTACCATATAATTAAATGATTTTTATGATTAAATTGTTGATTTGGACTTTATTTACCAATTTCTGTAATTGGCCATAATATTATAGAATAGAATCCTATGATTATCAGAAACTAAACTTAATATTGTTGCACAAGTGGTCTGAGGATGCTCTATATGTAGAATCATGTACAAAGCATTGATTGTCTATTAAAATTGTATTTGTATAGTATTTGTGATATAAGTAATATTAGATAATGTACTATATGTAATTTATATGATTTTATAAAGGACGGTATCTTACGCTTTCAGAAAGACGATAGAAGCACGAGATACAAACCATAGATTCCATGATTTTAGATCATATTCAAACACTAAAGCTGTATAATGTAATTTAATATATTTGAATTCAATGAAAAACATATGAATTTAAAATAATAATTTTTTATAATTTATATTTTATTTTGTTTGATTATTAAATTAATTGAAGCTTAAAAAAATAAAATAAACATGATATAAAAAATGATATAAAAAATGACTATAGGTAGGTAATTTAACAGGATAATTAATTCTAATAAAATTTATTTAAAGTACTTACGTGTATGAATCCATATATTTGTACATATGTAAATTGTGTAGCTTAATTTACTATAGACATTTTTTAACTAGTCACAGGGAATTTTGATATCAAATACTATTTATATGGTATGTTAATATACTTTATGATAATTTTTTACTGAATTGCAATTTTAAAAAACATTTGTTTTTAATCAATTCACATCACGTATGTGGTATGAATTGTAAAAAAAATTAATGAAATAAAAAATGTACATTAAGATAAAATAATGTACTATATTTAAAGTGAAGAGCGGTACAATCGATCTAATACGAATAATATTATACATTATTAACTATTACTAAGCTCATATCATATAAAGCAGATATATGTACTTATATACATATATTGTGTACAATTAAATATAAGCAATGTTTTATATGTAATCTAAATTCGTATATTTATAGAGCAGAGTACCCATATATGGTTTTACTTAAAATTTTAAACAAGATATTGTTTTGTTGCATTCCAAACTTTCATTTTTCGACCTTCACTCCAACACTACATATTTTAATATTATGCGGTTATAGTGCCTTTTATCATCCTCACTCAGTTAATTACATATGCATTAAAAATATACTGTTACATGTTTTTTTTTCTAAAATAAAATTTAAAATAATACCGGCTTAAAAAACTGTGTATTAACAGTAAAATCCTTATAATTCCGGTGGTAAAAAAAGTCACATTTAATAGTAGTGTGTAATATATAAATTGTCGTTTAAAAGATGTTTTTACTGTGGTTCTCTAAAATAATGAAGGCAGAAAAATATTCAATGAGTGATGAAAATACAAATAAGCTATGTAGTTGTTAGCGATCTGTTCAAGATGATAACTTCGTAATGTCATTGGAACCGGCATAAACTTAGTTAAGAATAATAATTTCATATCTCAGTTTGAATTGTGACCACAACAAATGTTGTTGTATAAAACCAGGAGTCACGAATTAAAAAAGTTTATAAAAATGTTGACATTAATATAAATATTTTATATATTTTTAACTTGAAATTACAAAAAGCGTAATAAAAAAAAATAAAAGTTTTTGAGTGCTATAGTATAAATCGATTAATTAATTTTTTAATACGTGAAATATAAGAGAGTAGTGTTTGTTAAATAGTTTTAAGATTATATTATATATAATCATATTCATTAAACAAGAAGTGAATCTAAATAATTGCTAAGGATTATATAAACAAAATGTGTTTAATGATAAATTCATTGGTTGTTCTTTAAAAATTATTGCCAGACGTGAACTAAGACTTTATTTAATGCAATGAGTAAGATTTATTATCTCTCCATGTATGCTATACTATAAAAGCAGCAGAAAAATCTTTCTGTAATAAATGTAGATTGAAATAAAAAGAGAAAATATGTTATGATGAAATTTTTAATGCATAATACTTTTAACTCTTCATACAGTCGAACAGAATATAAACAGATACTTATCGCTTAATAAAATGAAAAAATGTATATATGTGCAGTACACAGTGTTAAAATGTGAAAAAAATATATGAAATATATCGAAATTTTTTTTTTGCAAAAATAGATTACTAAGATTACTAATAATCTTCTTCTTACATTGAAGTCCTAGATCTGTGGAACAATCTTTCTTCAATCAAATTATGTACCCACAATGTCTTTTTAATCCTATCGATCCAATTTTTTCTTTAGCGCGATTCCTGAATTTCTTAAGCATTCTGGTTATAAGCCGTTTTATTTTATTATAAAACCCGTTATTGTGTCACCTACCATAAGTTGGTATGGCTTATGACAATCTTCTATACATAACTTTTTTTTTCATTTTGAAAATAGTTAATATAAAATTGAAAAGCATATTAATTTCAACTCGCTTAATTGCTTTTCTGATTTTACGGCTTTGGTCCAAAAAAATGCAATCACTAACTAATTTTTATTAATATAAAGTTAGTTATAAATTAATTCTCTCTATAGTTAATAGATAAAACAAATGAATTAGTATAGATCATATACAGCTGTGCCGACTACGTATGTTTAATCTAGATATATGCAATCCGAACAGGGGTGTATATCAAGATCAAGATCTAAAAGCTACACAACTATATTGCATAGATGGCCTGATGACTTGCTTATTTATAAGCATTCTAGTTTTCCAGTTTAGCCTTTCGGTCTTCAAAAGATGTTAGTTAAAACAGATTTAGAGTTTGTTTACAGATTGCCTTTGTTTTGATGCGGTATTAATAATATTAATAAGATTAATATATTAAAAAATATTTCCGTAAAACGATTATAGTTATATTATATAAGTCAAAGATTTGTGCTTCCTTTTTTAAGTACTTGAACTAATATTTTTTGTAATATTTTTTTATATTTTTTAAAATAATTTTTAGTTGTATAAAGTGAATAAACGGAAACAAGCTTTGATAAAATACAATTTTAAAATAATCCTAATGACAAAAACAATTGCTTCAAAAATATCATAATTGTATCTTAAGCACTCGAATAAAGCACTAGCGCAGAGCAGTTGCGTGTATATATGACAAAAACTATCTACATTTAATATAAATTTAAAAATGTTTAGAATAAAATTACTGTGGTTATTAACTTTCAGTTTCATATTAAATTGTTCGAATGAAATAATTAAAGATTACATTGGTGAGTATAACCAACATTTAAATCAAACTTGTTATTCATCATAATAAAAGAACGATATGGGGTTTTAAGTAAATTGTAATTTTTGTTAATAAATTATAAATTAAAAATAGACTTACTTGATTTATCCGATAATGATGAGTTTATGTGGGGTGTGCATGAAAATGACAACTGGCATGCAAATTTGCAAAACAATACCAGCGAAGTTCCGATGCTAAAACACAGATTACAAAAGCGTCAAGTAACTATGGGGTCAGGCGGAGATTTGTTACAGGTGGATGAACATATAATATAATATTATTATTGCTAATTGTCTGAATAAATATTATATATTTAGCCAAATAAAGCATATGGTGCTTGTCGTACCCCGCAAGGCGAGTCTGGCAGCTGCAGACATATTATATATTGTCGCATGCCTGAGCTCAAGGATGATGTTTGGAAATTGGTTTCACATTTGTGCGTTATAGAAGGCAGGTAAGTGAATAAATGTTGGTAAAGATTTTATTTTATATTTAATTTAATCCCAATTTGTCAATAGTACAATCGGTATTTGTTGCCCGGAGCGAACACTATCTCGCTTAGGTCCACAAATTGTTAATAATGTTGATGATAGTAGCTTGAAAGAACCACGTATTGTAAATCGTCCTGATCGACGTGGTTGTGGCATAACAACAAGACAATTTCCACGTGTAACTGGTGGCCGACCAGCAGAACCGGATGAATGGCCATGGATGGCTGCAGTACTACGACCAGGATTACCGTACGTTTGGTGTGGTGGAGTTTTGATAACTGATCGTCATGTGTTAACAGCTGCGCATTGTCTACATAAACTTAAAAAGGAAGAGTTATTTGTACGTTTAGGTGAATACAATACACAAATCATAAATGAAACACGCGCACGTGATTTTCGTATTGGTAGTATGGTTACACATATTGACTACGATCCACTGACATATGAACATGACATTGGATTAATACGTTTGGATCGTCCATCACTATTTAATACATATATTTGGCCAGTTTGTATGCCACCCATTGGTGAAAATTGGGAAAATCGCGTTGGCGTTGTAACAGGTTGGGGTACACAAACTTTTGGTGGACCGTATTCAGATATTTTAATGGAGGTAAGAATACCTAAAAATAAAAACAAATAAATTTAAATAATGAAAAATTCTATCATAAAATTAAATAATAAAATATAGTTATTTTAAATAACGTGTTTTAAATAATTATATTTATAAAATTTTAATTGCAAAAACATGGCATTTATAAAAAATCTAATTAATACATAAATAACAAAAGTATGCAACTAAATTTTAATATTTATAGAAAATAATATATAAAATAAAAAAAAATAATATTCAAAATGAAAAAATATATGTATAAATAATTAAATTGAAAATAAAAACTTTTTAAATGCAAGATTTAAAAAAAAAAAATATTATTTAACATAAATTTAAAATAATAATATACACATATATTGAGATAAGATTTATTAAGTAATATAAAAAAACTTTATAATAAACATAAAAAAATTTGCATAAAAAATCAAAATTACGATACATATTAATAACTGAAAATAAATAATAAAAAAAAATAACATAAATACTATTAAAATTAATAATATGATATTAACTAATAATAATGTGACAATAATTAACTATATTAATTAATTAACAACAACTAACAATAACTAACTATTAAAATATAATATTAATATTTAAAAACAGTGATATAATTGATAAATTTAACATATTTATATAAAATATAATACAAGTCTTTGGTATTAAAGGTCGCATGGGATGGAGTCCACTTTTTTTCAAAATTTTCATTTTTGCGGAACATTTTTTCCCTTTTGGTATAACAATACTAAATTGTTATATCATGATAAATGGTATGATGATAAACAAATTTATAATCAATCAAAAACACTCACTAATTTTCAATAACCGTCTTTTTTAATTACCTGAAGATTTTCTTTTACTTGCAAATTTATTGATTAATACTCTTACGCTTTGAAAAATATATAAAAATAAAGTAGGATACTTATTTTAATAGCCAATTGACGAGAACCGGTGAGCGATAGAACCAATATACACCAAAAATCTTTGCAAGATAATATTGTATTCATACACGAAAAATGAACAAAAAAAGTTTTTACAACAATCCTGAGATAAATTCAATCTTGATTTCCCTGAAAATAATTAACATTCAAAAACAAAATTACCTTAAAACTACAAAAATATCTAAATCTATTTGAGTACAGACATATTAGGCAGCAAATATAATTTAATGAATTGAATGTTAGTATACAACTGACTTATGGTTTTTGGATAACTATTATAGAGATGCTAAGGGTTTCTTAACTAAATAGTTTTGTAGATGGACTTCTTTTCGATAATCTGTATTTCGAAAACAGAACTCCATCCTATACAATTTTTGGACCAAAAAATCACCTCACAAATTTAAGCCATTTTATTAAGAAACACTATGTGTATAGCCTATTTTCAACACATTTAAGAAAACATGTAAAAAATTTAAAAATTTAAGGTATTGCTGCCTATTTGGAAACATGGAGAGTGCAAAAGTGCAATGATAGAACGCATACCAGACACGGTACTTTGCGCGGGTTTACCAGCAGGTGGACAAGATTCGTGTCAAGGTGATAGCGGTGGACCATTGTTGGTGCAACTATCCAATAATCGTTGGGTAACTATTGGTATTGTATCGTGGGGTGTTCGTTGCGGTGAAGCGAATAGACCAGGAATTTATACACGTGTTGATAAGCATTTGCAATGGATTATTGAGAACTCTGATATTTGAAACTATATATAAGAATATTTTTTAAGTATGTTTATCTTTTGTTTTTATTTTTTACTATTGTTTAGGCTTACAAAAAAATTGTAACTAGAAATATAAACAATTAACCTTTACTTATTATTTAAAAATGAGTTTTTTATACTAATGCTTTGCATTAATTTATCGTTAAATATTTTTTATTTAAGTTCTGTGAAGGCGATTTTATAAACATCTTCATATGTGGCAGCAAAATGCACTTCCATTCCGTCTGTAATGAATGATGGTAGTTCAGCGTAGTCTTTCTTATTTTCTTCAGGAAGTATAATACATGTGACACCACTACGTTTGGCCTAAAATAAAAAAATAATTTACAATTATTATTTCGTTAACCATTTTCGTTATATATGTATATAACAAATACAAATATTCTTACAGCAATAGTTTTTTCCTTGATTCCACCAACTGGTAATACTTTGCCTTTTAATGAAACCTCACCAGTCATTGCAATATTTTGGCGTACAGGTTGATTTGAAGCTAACGACATAAGGGCAGTAACAATAGTAACGCCGGCACTAGGCCCATCTTTAGGGGTAGCACCTTCAGGTACGTGTAAGTGAATATGACTATAAGTATATATATAAAAAACTAAAAAAAATTCGGTAATTTATTTAATGCATTATACCTATTTTCTAGAAAATTGTTAGTATCGTTTTTCTCACGTAAGAAGTTGCGGGCTACAGTTAACGCGATTTGTGCAGATTCCTTCATAACTTCACCCAAGTTACCTGTCAGGTGTATCGTACCCGCTTGTTCATCTTTTAACAAAGGAATTGTTTTTCGTTTGGCAGTTTCAATGAAAAGTGATGATCCACCCATTGCCGTCCAAGCTAAACCCATTACAACGCCTGGCGGGGTTTCTTTATACATACGCTCGGATGAGAATATATGTTTACCAAGGAATGTAGTTAAATTTTCACTATCAACTTTAAATTCTGTACTTTCTTTTTTAACAATTTTATAAGCAATTTTGCGAACTACCTGTAAAATATTAATGTTTTACTATATATAATTTGTACACATATTTAATGTAATAGACTTTGTACCTTTTCAATGTGTTTTTGTAAATTCCTGACACCTGATTCGCGACAATAACTTTTTATCAGTGTAGTTAGCGCATCATCACTTATAGATACTTGTGTTTCATTTAGACCGCAATTGAGCATAGCTTGTGGTATTAAATATTGACGTGCTATAGCTAGTTTCTCTTCTGCTACATAACCTGACATCTCAATTAATTCCATACGATCACGCAACGGTTCTGGTATTGTTTCTGTTATATTGGCAGTGCAAATAAAAAGAACATGCGATAAGTCAACCGGTACATCCAAATAGTGATCTAAGAAATTAGCGTTCTGTTCTGGATCAAGAAGTTCTAATAAAGCAGAACTTGGGTCACCTTGATAACCTCTTAGGTAATAACAATATTAGTTAATACAAATTATATAGAAAAGTGATATTTAAATCTTTTGCTTACTTTCCAATTTTATCCACTTCATCAATAAGCACTAAAGGATTTTCGGTTTTGGTTTTTTTCAGACATTGAATCAGTTTACCAGGCATAGCACCAACATATGTTCGTCTATGTCCTTTGATTTCAGCTACATCGGTCATACCTCCAACACTAAATCGGAAATATTCCCTATTAAGAGCACGTGCAATTGAACGCGCTACAAACAAATGTATAAATAAGTTTTGCTTTTATTTCCAATACTTTTCTTTTCTTACCTATACTAGTTTTACCAACACCGGGAGGCCCATGGAAGCATAATATTTTACCTTGTGTACCACCTTTCAAATGACTTACAGCAATAAATTCCAATATGCGTTTTTTAATGTCTTCCATACCATAATGATCGGCATCAAGTATCTTTGAAGCTTCATCCAGGCTTAAATTCTCTACACTTGTGACACCCCAAGGCAGTGATGTTAACCAATCCAAATAATTACGCGTTACACTAATCAAATATTTAATGTGAATGGTTAAGGAATATTATTTTATATGAAGTAAAATAATTTACTTAAACTCAGAACTGTGACTTTCTAGGAAATTTAGCTTAGTTAATTCTTCTTCGATTACACTCATAACATTTTCTGGAATTTTTTTGTCTTTCAATTTCTCACGATATTTTTCACCGATTGCATCTTTATCATCTTTTTCAATTCCAAGCTCTTTTTTTATAACTTTAAGTTGTTCTTGTAAAATATATTTACGATGCTGTTGTTTTACCTTTTCCTCTACTTCACGGCCAATTTTAATTTGCAATTTAGATAATTCTAATTCCTTTTTCAGAAGACCCAAGGCTAGCATCAATCTTTTAGGAATCTAAAATGACAGATTTATGTTTTAATATGTAGTAATTATTTTCAAATATTGATATCATATTTTAGAGGTGTTATGCAATAGAAGCTTAGGTTAGGCTAAGTCTATTTGAATACAAACAGGCATGCGGCTGTCAAGAATATATTCTATGCAACTGCAAAGCGGCGGCAAGACGTTGACTTGACTACCTTGGAAACGGGATCTTAGTTCCAAATCTAATATGTAAAATTAAGACCACAGCAATTACGAGAGTTATAAATAGTCTAGAATTGTTTTAGTTGGGCCCCTAGGTGCACAATAAATCTTTTAGGTCGGGGTGCATTCATAGTCTATTATTTAATAATAATAATAGGTTAAATTATACCAGCGTTCCTTATAACCCACTTAAACCTATTGGTCCATTGTGTTACCTTATGAGAACTCAGAGATTAAAAAATTATATTTGAATTTTGGCAAATCCGTCAAAAAGTAAACTCTTACTGTTGTCAATTACTCGACAGCAACAAGATAACAGATATTTAAAATATATGTTTAAAATTGGTAATATTTACTTAAAACCTTCGACAGAAACTGTATAGAATCTATATGCAACTGTATAGCATGCACCTATATCAAAATCTCAATTAAAATCCAACTAATTAAATTGCGAGGTTGGACCCATTAATAATAAGATTTATACCTTATACAATCTCTGACAGAATATTTAAAATAATTAAAAAAATCAGTTACTTACATCCATTTCTTCCATTATTAACTGTAGCTCCTCTGGTTCACCAGCAGATAATGATGCTCCTAAATCACATAAATACACTGGGTTATCAACAACTCGTTGATTTTGATGTAGCATTTGTTGCAAACTTTCTCTAAATGATAATTATATATATATATATATATATAATATACTATTTATATATTAAGAAATACTTACCTATAAAGTGGATTCATAGTTATAATATCCCGAATCGTTTTAATAATTTCTTGAGTTAAAGCCTTTACTTCTTCTGTGGGTTTGTACGCGTCATGAGTAACATTAACAACTTCAACCATTAGTACAGGTGGCACAGGTTGTGCCACTGGTTTCTGTGCACCAGCTGCAGAACTTTCATCTTTTTTCTTATCAGCAGCCGAAGTCGATGTTGTCTTCTGTTCTGGTGCTGAGGGTTGTGCAGGAGGCGTTGTTGGTGCTGGTGGCTTAGTTGGTGCTGGCGGTGTAGTAGCAGCAGTCGGAGGTTTAGTAGTTTCAGTTTTGGACGTTGTAGTAGTTGGATCTGTTTTTGAATCACTAGCTTTAGCGGCATCACCTTTTTCATTTCGTGCTCGACTGAGTCTACTTTTACGTCCTGCCTTTCGTTTTTCAATTTCAGACGTTTTGTCTTCAGCTGGGATGTTCAAGTTTATATTAAAGATTGGAAATTTCAATGTCGTCATTTTCTCTGACAAAGATTATGACGATTCAAATACAATTTGTTTTTATTGAAAAGAGCAATAGAAACACAATATATTTGTTTTGAAATTAATGTTTTGTACTTTTTTAAAATAAGTTTATCATGTGCTCTAATGTGCTCTGTTCATTCTATTTTTATAAGTATACTGCATAACTTACTTGGTTTAGGAGTGGGAAAATCTTCAATTAGTTGGCCAGTAATTTTTATACGTCTATGCGCGACTACAACCATACGTATTTTATCACCTAAGTCCTGAATTTCTTGAATTTGTGCAAAGGTACCAACGCTGTAGACATCGTCCAGTTTATTAATTGTTTCACTTTCGTTTTCACTATCCTTTTTTAAAAATACACCAACGTAGGGTTGGCTTAGTTTGACCTTACGGCGTATTAAATCAACTAGCATTGGATGCGTGACCTTAAAAATTAGGAAATATTTATTTATATACATTTACATTATGTTTCATAACATACTTCCATAATTTTCATAAATCTTGGAAACACAGGATTACGTCTAGTTAATAAAATTGGCAAATGTGGCCAAACATCTGGTACTGCTACTGTTGCGGGTAACTGTGGGTCTTTAGGTTGATATTCTTCGACCTCGTGCACGGTTATTTCATCATCATCGTCTTTTTTAGAGGCATAGTTTCTAGCGTAAATTTGTGCTGCTGCGCCGGCGAAACGATTTGGTATCACTTTTGTTTTATTTATTAAAACCTGGCGGGCAGCATAACTCTCATACGGAGTAAGAGTTGAAAACTTACGGACTACGCCACGATGGCGCAAGAGACGTGTTAACATTTTTATAATATAAAACTTTTAATTGAACGACACGAAATATTCTACACACACTTTTTGAAGTTACGTCTTATCTCATATGTTTTATAAATTCGAGATGACAGCGCGAAAGTTAAATTTACTTTGACATACACATTCCACTTTTAATGTTGCCGTATGTTCAAAATTTTAAATTTAAATTTTATTTTCAAATTTTTTTATTTTACACGACACAACAAATTTTACTTTATCTATGCTAATGCGATTGTTAACTTATTTAGGACGTGTGCGAGTTAGGCTAAGTTGCGTTCTAAATGAGGAAAATTCTAAGTTGTGCAGATATTGTATACGTGTTGATAAATGACTAAATGTGTGCAGTGCAAAAAATCCCAAATAATCTCTCATTTGGTTTAGCATCAACTTAGCCTAACTCGCATACGTCCTTAATCTCAAATTTTAAGATATATACAAATTAATTTATAAATTTCAGCGAAGTACAAATTTACAAGGTGAAACTAAGGGCATCATAAAGTAATTACCTATATGATAATGGTTTTACTCACCAAAAACCACAACACGTATTCGAATGTGATAATTGCAAGATTATACATATATGAATAATAGGTGCTATTAGCAGCTTTTAAGTGTGGCAAAAAACAACAAGTTGCTTACTATAGGCGCTTAGCGAGGTATTAGCATTACTGTTGCAATCTGTCAAATGGTATGCCTGTTCCACTTGGTACTCGTAGTAAAACTCAAGTAAAAGACAAATAAAGTACAAACGCTCTTTACACAGATTTTCATTGAACAGATTTGTGTAAAGTCTGGTGAGAACGCCAATGCCGCGCAAATAAACGATACAAAAATTTAAATTCAAATCAAAACAGCTGATTCACATATCAAACAAATTTTACTTGAAATAAAATGTACGAGTAAAGTTTGTGTAACATTTTCAAATTTCGACAGGGATGATACGTTCTTTTAGATGCTCTCATTTACTCGAAAATTTGTGTTGTGTATACACATGCTACTTACAGTTACTACGAGTACTTCGTGGAACAGACCTTATATGTACACCAATACCTCGATTTACGGCGGTCTCGTTGAACGGCGAAATCGCTTAACGGCCTAACCATAGTTATGACCATGATTCGCTTAGTAGCCAAAAAATACCTCGTTTAACAGCCAAGAAAAATTATACAATTTATTTAAAATATTATTTTGCGTATGTATAGTATATATGAGTTGCTTCTGAGTAAATTATTAGTGTACAGACAAAATGCATATCAAAAAACCGCTTTAATTTTCTCTTAACCTCATAAGAATCATTTAAAACTTGCTTGTTTTCAGTTCACTATAAACTTCACTATAAAGTTCAATAAATTTATATAAACTTTTATACGTGAACAGTTATTCAGTATATAAAAAGTGCCAACTTTTTGACGTTTTTTAATATAACAACTAGTCTCAGGGCTAGTTTTATAATGCACACCTAGGGACCGATTTAGAACCTTACAACGAGCACTTAAGGGTTACTTAAAAATCAGCTGACATAAGAAAAATTCAAGAAAGTTTCGATTCGAAGTTAAATTGAAATGTTTTTAAAACTTTGATAATTTTAAAAACTATTTCAATGTTGTCGGTTTGGGATTCTGATTGCGAAAGTAATTATAAAATTGATCAAATTTGGAAAGTTTAGAGTTACATGCGAGATGAGCTAAATCATAAGATAACCAAGTAAGTTTTTCAATTTTAGGAAATATGACATAATCAGGAAAATACTATTATATTTCAGAAATAATGTTTCCTTGTTTCAAATTTGCTTATAATATCAATTACCAATGTTTTTGAAAATCTTTGATTTTTGATTTATTTCAGTTTTTACTTACTAACCATATAAAAGTTTATAGTTTGAAACGCCGAAGTAAATAAAATTTGTGACATCTCATAAAAACTGTCAACAGTTAAGGACTGAAAAAATCTATATTTAACTTAAGTATTTCCTAATTGCGTATGTTAAAAGTAGCTCTTACAATTGTTGAATTAGAACTACTTATATTGGAACAATACTTTGTTATAGTAACAGTACAGTAAAGTGGACTACTCCTCAAGCAATATAACTATATTTGAACTTGAACATTTGAGTCGAATACTATAAGGGTATATTTTACAGTCAAAATTACTATCTTAATACGATCTTAAGTTATGCTTAAGTTATCAACTTAAGTTAATATTGAGACTTACGTTACGACTGTGAAGTTACGACTCGAAAGTATTCTAAGATGTTCAAATTGCTCGAATTGCTGATCTGCTTTATGTGCCATTACATTTTTGTCATGTTGTATATTCATACGTATAACATTTATTGTTCGAACATCAAATTAAGTAATCGGATTGGGTCTGATAAAACTAAGTACTCGTTAATCGTAATAATTATTTTCGAAGTGTTTTAGACAATGGAATATACATTATATTATATTCTATTATATATAATTAATATAACCATACATTTTTGTTCAATTCCATTTGGTGAGGTTAATTGGTTTAAATTCTTGTATGAAAAAAAAATTGCATCCGGTAAACACTACACTGCTAAAATAATTTATGTACAGAGTTAGTCGACTGAAGTGTTACCAACTACACACGGGTATAAAAAATATGCCAGTATGGATGCGTTAACGAAAGTCATTGTTTAGGACTGGGGCAAAATATTGGAAGACACTTTTGTGAAACATGCAACTCAATTTTTAACCCCTCGAAGGTTAAAGGTAAACGGTGGCCATATCAAGCTAGAGTGAATGGATTCTGAAATTTTGACTACTTCCACAAATTTTTGTAATTTGAATCAATAAAAAATAAATTCACACAAAAAGTTATGGTCGTTTGAGAGAATAGGCAATACTTTAATCACCCAACCCTGTATATCTATTATTAAAACCTAAAAACAAAGAAATTCTATTTTACCAGGATTTTCAATTAAATTTCACAAAAATTGTTTTAGTTACTGTTACATGGAAAAATATTACACTTGTAGTTGTGTACTTTTTATTTGCTTTTACATTACAACATAAGGATTTACATAGATAAAAAGTGGATTATTACTTAATACCGTAGTGCTATATGTTTTCATACCGTCAAAGTACAAATATAGAGATTTCATTTGTGATTTTACTAATATGTAAGGAACTTTTTGATTATATATAAAAATCTTAGTTCGTTAAAAGCAATTTGTTTAATATAAATTAGAACATTGTCTAAAATGTTTTTTATATTTAATGTAGAACACTGACGGTATTCTATTGTATTCCCACGAGATAGAAAAAAAATTAACGCTTAAGAAACATTTAATGATGTTTTTAGTTCCAACTTTAACATTGGTGATTCCTTCAGTACTTTAATATAGGAAGATAATGAATCTAAAGAAATAGATATTGTTAGCTGCATTATGTTTTCTTTCATTTAACACCAAAATTAAAGTGCCTATGAAATATATTCAATAATACATAGGTCGGTCATAGAAGGCAAAAAGTATATATAGTACATATTAACAAATAATAAATACTTTAACAGTTGTTTGATTGTAATGATTTCATTAAGTCGCATCATTTGAAATCCTATCGTCTCTTAAAATGTTGTAAACTCTAATTATTTAGTCTGCGGCGATGGGATGAGATAAAAGGAATAGAAGAGGAAAACGTCCTAGACATAATATTCAAAGGATGTCAATATCTCTCGATATTTATTAAAAAATTAACGTTTGCTTTCCTGATCGCTATAAACTACAAATTATGTATATGCTATTAATGTTGTTTTGTATGGCCCATTAGGAAAGTTGTCAATAAGATAGAAGCACTTCAATCAAGTGAAAAATCAGTAGTATCACTAAATTAACTACGACTATTCCCCATTTTTTTTTTGTTATTTTACTAATACAATTACTTATAACATATCATTTATTCATTTTTTTTTTAAATATTGAAACTCAATTCAGTAGAATCAAAATTCAGAACCTCTTCAAATTTCTAGCAGGCCTGTTTGAAATGCGTATTTATACTTTCTATGTAATTCTTGTCGGATTTTAGCATTTCTTGTTTTACGAAAGAAACTTTTAAGTTTCTTTAGAGACTTGACAGTATTTCTAAATGTTTTAATTGCTTGTAGTTAGTACTTATCAATGAATTAGTAGGACTAAAACGGAGGTGAAATGTCTGTTATATATTTAGAGATCCTCAGATGAGAGTATTATTTAGTAACGTTATATATAGAGAGTAACCTCTATAATCTCAATAGCATAATATGAAAGAGAAAAAAATAATGAAATAATTCTTTTTTTTAACTACAAGCAACAAATGAGTCCACAGTGCATTTCAGTTGCATTCGAAGGTGAAATTTAATATTTGTGATAATTGAATTTTAATTTTGCAATTTTTTATTTTTTAATAAACTGATATATAAATCGTAAAATAAAAATAATACTAATAATATTAAAAACATTTAATAAAGTAAAAATAATTAATTGAAGAAGCATAACTATAATCATTAATAGTTTTATTAAGTGTAAGTCATTAAGTGTAATAATCTAAATGAGATAAGTAAATAGAGAGTTTGTAGTACGGAACTTGAGTACATTTTCATTTAGAAAAAAAAAACTATAATGTAAACTATTAGCAAAAAGTGCAACATTATCATATATACTGTTTTGATGATTAGATTATGTATAAACATGCCGTAATCTGATATTCATGATATTATAGCGCAATACTGAGATTAAAAATATGCTAGACATTTTTGCTAATATTACATTTAAATAAAACATGATCAAGTCATGAAGAAATCTTTAGTAATCGAACATTAATAGAACGCTTCCAGACAAATTAATGAGGAATTAAACAATTATTTTGCAAAATTCAGAGTTCGCTTGCAAAGAGCAAGGACCGAAGAAATATAAAATTTTAATCTCTCGTGATTGTAAGACAAAAGACATAAGTTCCTCATATCAGCTCTGCTAGTATACCGCGTATCAAAACTGTAAGAAGTGCCTAGTGTATCGATTGTGTAATGAACTTGACATTTTTTTTTTTTTTTTTCAAAAAAAGAGAAAATTGAATTGGAGAAAGAGCGCGGCAAAGAAAAGTCTTACGAGTAAATGAATAACTTTGTAAATTAAATTATCAAGCATTTCTTATGTATATTTTGCCTTCTTGAATATTTAAACAATTGAATAAAATCTATTAAAAGTTAACTGCTAACTATGAGTTTTCATTCTTTCAGTTACATTCGAACACAGAAAGCAAAAACACCTCGGAGTTATTTTTTTTAAAAATTACAGAATAAAAGATTAAAAACTTAAAAAGAGATTCAATTCATTTATAGAAATTAATTAAAAAATTTGTTTAAAATATTTATTAAAAACGAGAAGTGAAGAAATTCAATATTTAAGAAAAGATTAAAAAAAGATATTAATAAAAAAACTGCAATGTCCAATTCTACGATAGTTGATGAGATTCGTTGCAAACTAACAATTGATTGGAAAGTTCTTGGCTCGATATACGATTTATTGTGCAATGAGAAAGCGTTTTGTGTTAGCGAGGCCGATCGTGGAGAAAAAATAGTTAATTTTGTGCAGCCCGAAGAGTTAAAGGTAAAATATAGCTTCAGGTGTCGAATTATTAGATGTGCGGAGAAAGTGACGGGCGGTATGACAAAGTAATCAGTTAATGACTTTTGCAGCTAAAAATAATTCAAACATTTTTTGAGGCTATAAATTTTGATTGAAGCGCATGTTTGACCTATTTTGACACTCACTTTTGGTTTTGACGAGAATTAATCTTGCTACGTTAATATTTTGATTTATTGTCGTGCTCGTATTATATTTTTGTATAATTAATTATATTAAACAATTCATTTATCAATGAGTGTTACATTAAAAATATTAAGACTTTGTTCATATATTTATACTTAATAGTTTAATTGGTTATTTTAGGTGTTGTTAACACATATAATATATTTCATTATAAGTAATTTTATATTTATTTGATTTTTTAAATTAAAAATATTAAAGTTTAATTTACTTACAATATTCAATTATATATAGTATTTTATTTTAATTTGAAGTAATTGTCAAAACTCGAGCAACATACAATTATTAATTATTTATAACAAATAATTGGTTTTGTTATAGAGCAAACAAAATTCAAATTTTTATAATATGTATAAAGGATCTAATACTTCATTGGATCCTTGAGAAGGATATTGGAATGTTATGCATTACACCTAATAACAAGGAGAAAATACTACATTCAAAAATATTTGTTCGAAATTGCAATCAAACGTGTGTTTTATTTATTTATACCTATTCTCGAAACCACAAAATGGATATCCTAAAATGTGGAAAGTATATTGGTTGAAGGTGTACCAAAATTTATAAAAAAAAATTTAGTATACTTAGGCAAACTCGTGCATATTTAGTAATATATTATACAAAAAAGTGCAAGAGCATGTTAAACATTACAATATTTGTAATAAACTATTAATGGTTTTTTCTTATATTAGAAATTAATTGATCTTACAATTTCGGAACACGAAAATCATTCAATTAAAGATATTGAAGATATAATTCGTTCGGTTATAAAATATTCCGTCAAAACTAGTCATGGTCGATTTCACAATCAATTATTTGGACAAATGGATCCTTATGGACTTGCAGGCACATGGATAAGTGAAGCACTCAACACAAGTGCGTAAGTTAAATATTATTAATATAAAAAAATGATTCATAAATTTTTTATTTAAGTATTTCAAAGTGTTAAGTATTGATGATTATATTCGATCTTGTGTATTTGTGTCTAAGAAGAGATGACTATATAGATAAGTAATTACATAATTTTCTTTTAGTCAAAAATTAAACTACCTACATCAGTTAATGCATTGAAAGATTCTAACAACCACTTTTTTCTTTTTTTCTTAGTATACCCAGATAGCACAGTACAAAGTTAGCTATTCGTTTAAGCTTCTGCATCCAAAGTAGCTTTTAACAATATTCTTGTAGGATTTCGGTGATCTGTACTACAAATTTCTCTGATCTCACGTTACAAGGCCAGATTTATTTTTATCAAGCCTGACATTTAAATGAAAATAATTGTCGGAGTGACTGAAATTTTTTTTCTTTCTTTTTCTCTCTTTAGCTAATAAGCATTCCGCTTTAATGTTTTTTGGTATTATTTAGAAACGCCCATAAAGCGTTTAAAACAAAGTATATCCATAGATATATGTTATTGAAATTCTTTCACATTTTTCTGGCTAGAATACCCTAAGTTAATGTTACCCTATATCCGTATCAAATACTTTGTCATAAAACAGTGAGCCTTCAGACCTTACATTCGTAATCAAATATATGTTTTGTCTATATATTGTATACAAAGTATATTCAATGGTTTGATGAACCTTATATAGAATAAATAGAATTAAGGTTTAAGGTCTTCATTATTTATTGGTTTAATTTTATGCTGATATACATATATCACCACTTCCTTTGTGTTACATACTCAACGTGTTAAGTATGTATCAAAATAATAATTTATTATTTTATGACTAAAAATAATTTCACAACGATTTCTAATATTTTTTTACCCTGAATATCTATTTCTTCATAACTTGCACAAATTTCGAAAAAAGTGAAGTAGGTATTAAAACTGAAGCCTTGAATCACCTATTTTATGTAAATAATAAAAACTAAATGGTATTTCATAATATTATGATTTTATTTTTAAATACCTACATTTTGATAAATCTATTTTTAAAATTTACTTATATAAAAGGTATACGTTCGAAGTGGCTCCTGTTTTCTCATTGATCGAAACTGAAATTATACGAAAAGTGTGTGAGATTGCTGGCTACAATGAAGGCGATGGCATATTTTCACCAGGTGGATCGATTTCAAACATGTAAGCAAATTTAATAGTAAAAACAAAAAACTAATTATTTGAGTACTCTTGAGTTTTGGGTGACTCCTAAAGTAGCGCCTGCAGCAAGTACTTGACTTTGAGTCATTAGCGCATAACCATAAAAACCAAACACTCATGTCTCGTCTATTTTCTTGTATAAGTGCTTGTATCAGAAATGTTCAATGGCAAGTGTTACTTTGAGGCTAATTATAATATCAATAAACATGGGTGGGTCCAATACTAACAACAAGAAAAGTAAAAACAATAAAATTTCAATTAATGTTATTTTTTGCGATTACCCACTTAATAAGCACAACACTCAAAAATGTCACACTTTTTATTTCTAACAATAATTCGTTGTTTAGGTTAATGCTATTCTTTCGTAGATAATCTGAAGAGATTTTATATTTCAGGTATGGCCTTGTCTTGGCGCGTTATAAGCGTTATCCGATGATTAAGTCGGAAGGCTTATTTGGCATGCGTCCACTTGTATTATTCACATCGGAAGAATCTCATTACAGTTTTAAGAAAGCAGCTCATTGGATTGGCTTAGGCTGTGATAATTGTGTTGTTGTGAAGACAAACTTGTATGGTCAAATGTTAACAACCGATTTAGAGTCGAAAATTAAAAGCGTTAAAGCTGAAGGTCGTGAACCATTCTTTGTAAACGCAACAGCTGGAACAACGGTACTAGGTGCTTTTGATAATTTCAATGATGTGGCTGCGATATGCAAACAGTACGGACTTTGGTTGCATATAGACGTAAGATATTAAAATTTTAACTGTTATCTGTTATCATATATATTTCCTATTTCTTCATATTAGGCATGTTTAGGCGGTTCTGCTATGCTTTCTTATGATAATCATCATTTGGTTGCGGGCATTGAACATTCTGATTCATTCTCTTGGAATCCACATAAGTCTTTAGGCGCTCCATTGCAATGTTCATTATTCGTAACTCGAGAGCGTGACTTACTTTCACATTGCAATTCTCTCGAAGTGAACTATCTCTTCCAGCAGGATAAATTTTATGACGTTTCATATGATACAGGAAACAAAAGTGTACAATGCGGTCGTAAAGTTGATGCATTCAAATTTTGGTTAATGCTGAAAGCACGTGGCTATGGAGGGTACGGCCAATTGGTGGATCATGCAATATATATGGCAAAAATGTTTACACAAAAAATTAAACAACGTGGTTCAGAAAGTTTTCGTTTAGTATTAGACGAGTTTCAGTATATGAATGTTTGTTTTTGGTACATACCGAAAGCTTTACGTGGGTGCAATGAAAATACTATGGAGTGGAAAGAATGTCTATATACAGTAATTAAATTAATTTCTGAATGTAAATGGAATGTAATTTTTTGTTTCGCTTTTTCAGGTTGCACCAAAAATTAAGGAACGTATGATTAGGCAAGGTACTCTTATGGTAGGTTACTCACCCTTAGCATATCGTGATATTGGAAATTTCTTTCGCATGGTTTTCACTAGTTTTCCTATATTGGATGAAAAAGAGCTTGATTTTATTTTAGATGAAATTGAAAGACTGGGTGAGGAGTGTGAATATTAATATTTAAATATATACAAAATATTTTTACTTTAATTTTTATAAGTTAAGCAAATTTAAGTTTACATTACAAATTGTGAAGTGAAAATCTACTTATTCATATATTATTAAATAAATAAATTAACTATAATAATTATTTTAATGAGTATATTAATGTGTACAAAGATTTCAAAGAAAAATACTTTTAGCTTATAAAAAAAAGAGTAAAACTAAAACTAATATTAAAACTAATAATTACTGTTCTAAACAAAGAGTCTATTATATAAAAGAAATTCTAGACTCAACATTTCAATATTTACTGAGATGTTAATTGTTAAAAATAACTCTTTCAAGAAAAAAAAATCTATTTATTATTATAAATAGTGTAGTTTGGTATATTATACCTTCTGCTCAAAAAGTATCCGGATTTTGTTGTTTGTTAACTACTCCTAATAGTTAAAGTAATAGACCTTTTTATTTTTTTGTTATTTTGGTACACCCTTTCTTGACATATGGTACAAATTTGAGCGCCATCTGTTAATTAATTTGTTTATAGCAGCTGTTAATGTGAGACTACCTCAAGTGCATTTAGTGATTTTTACTGCGGAAAATTCTTGTTGTACGCGATTTTTTGACCAAACACGGCACCACTGTCATCGCTCAGACACCATATTCGCCAGATCTGCATCCGTGCGACTTTTTCCTGTTCCCGAAATTCAAATTGCCCCTTCGTGGTAAGCGTTTTGAGTCGATTGAATCGGTAAAAGAGAATTCGCTGAAGGAACTAAAAGCCATATTTTCACGGGCCTACGAAAAGTGTATGAAAGATTGGGCTAAGCGTTGGCATATATGTATCGCTTCGGAAGGAGCATATTTTGAAGGAGATAAAATAAATTTGGAATAAAATTTAAATTTGTGTTTTATTCACAATATCCGAGCATTTTTTGAGCAGAAGGTATGTCCTTATGTGTAAAAATTATAACATATCTTTAAATTTTTATCACGTACCGTCTTCTCGAACTGGGTCTGTGAAGCTAACTGCAAACTTTTTTTTCTAACAAAAATTCCCAAATGTGTATTTACTGTTACTATTTTTGAAATATAACATGCGGGATTTAGATAATAGAAATATAATTCTTAAAATAAAAAGAAAAAGAGACACCCATCTTGGAAAATATAGACTTATTAGTAACTAACAGTTTACTGAAAAATATCAACAGTCGTGAATTTAAAATATCGCTAACTAATTATAGTATTTACAACCCAGTGCTTAAAACATGAAAGCTAACTATTATACTTCATATTAATATAAGAAGCCACAAGCTTGAAATTAAGCAATCTACAGTCAAATAAGAACATTGCAAAAAATGAGTAATAGATAACTACAGTAAGATTTGAAGGTAAAAAATACAACCTTCCCCTTTAAATTAACAGTATAAGGATATAAATAGAACCTTGGAAAATTAATTTAAGATAAAATTATGCTAATTGTCATGATTACCATCACGATTTGATCAATTGTTATAAAAATAAATATCTGAAATTATGTTTCTCTATTAAGAACAATGACAATGACAAATGAAGTCATTTCACTATCCTTTAAAAAATTAAACAACTATCAGTAAAGATATAAATTCAAATTAAATATGTTATCAGAGAAATTCGTAACAAATTATAATAATCGGCAATAACAATATATATTCGTATATTTCCCAATAATTTATTTGCGGTTTTTTGTTGATTTATAATGTTTGACATTTTAAGGCCATTTTACGTGCCTTCCTTCAAGACTCTTTCTTATTTACCCTTTTATTTAAAATTTCAAAAGATCGAAAATAATTTTGAAATACGAAACTGCTATGCTTGCATAAATAAAAAAAAAATGTAATAAAAAAGTTTTAAGTGTACTCGAAATATTCAATTTAAATAAAGTAAGAGGTTGAAATTTCTGCAAATGACAAGAACCAAATAAACACAAATACGAAGTAATTATATTGTATATGCTTTATGCATATAGTATGTAGGTATAACATACATAAAAAATAAGTATAAATTATCAGATTATTTACTCTTAACCCATAATGTACAGGGTATTTCCATGCTAAATTCAGGTTATTCTTCGGTTTAATGAAAAAAGGTAGGTGTTGTTGCTCCTTTTGCAAGAAGATATTAGGACAATTCTCAATATATGGTAAGATACTCATATAAACTATCTTCACTATTATTGTTTTTAAAATAGTAACACATTATTAAATAAAATATTAACAAGAGAAAAACTAAGATTTTCATTTTGAAAATTTTTTGTTGAAATTATAGCACATTTGCTTTTAATAAATTAAATTACAACCTTCATCATTTCGATATATAATGTAATAGAAGATAAAATAAAACATTGTACTGTTATAAAATAAAATAAAATAAAAAATATTAATTGAAGTTAAAATTGTTGTATAACACAATCTTTTTGGATAAGTGGTTTCGGAGATTTTTATGCTCACATGGTTGATAATTTTTTGCGTGCAGAGTTTTTTTTGACATGCCTCTACTTTGTCTTCTTCTTCTTCTTATTTGACACTACAGTCCAGTATGAACCTAGACTATGGATAGTAGTCTTGATTTCATCAAGTCTAAATATATGTAAACATCTATTTGAAATGTCTATTTTGAAGACATTTCATAGCTCTCTTTTGCCTTTTTGCAATGATTGCAATATCATCTGCATACGCACAGATCTGGTATGACTTTGTTATAATATTGCCAAGATTTTCAATGGAGTGAATGGCGTAATGTAATGTTAATATAAATAAGAATACCGAAAGGCTGTCACCCTGTTTAACTCCGGAGCTTTTTGAAAACGACTCTGAGAGGTGTCCATTGATAATAACATTGCCTGATGAGTTCGCAAGGATCTTTGCGTCCAATCGAGTAAGTTTTTGCGGGGCGCTCGCCCATGCCAGTGCGTTTATGATTACTGATCGTTCGAGGCTATCGAAGGCCCGCCTGAAATGTACAACGAGTGCGTGTAGCGTGATGTTGTGCTGCTACTTCGTATTTAATAATTTTGAACATATTCCAATAATTATTTTTAATTTCTTGGATAAAGGAATAATAATATTATTATAATATCTTCAATTTATGCTATTTAATACAGAAACACCTTGTATACTTGTATATTTTTCACTAACTAATACAAAAATAAGTGTAGTACTATAAATTACAGACAAAGCGAATATAATATACATATATGAGAAAATTGTAACAAAACAATTTCGTTTTTCCAATTATAGTACAGCTCTTCATTACCAATGTAACTTAGTTTTTGTTTATTATTATAAAAAATGTTGTTTTTAAAATAATTTATAATAAATGCTTGTCTAATGCAATTTTTTATGCTCTATTAAGAGATAAACATTTTTAGATATTTTTTCAATAACAAACACTTTTAAAACACTAAATATTTTGTTGCGTAGAAAGTTGAAGAAAAAATATTTTTAATAAATTAATACATTAAAAATGTAAGTTAAAATTTACTTTTTTAAGATCTTTAAAAAATATTTTCTATACGAAAATATCTCTATACGACATAGATTCTCTTCATATTGTTAAGTCTCAGTTTTTTTGAATATTTCACAGTAAAAACAATATAACTATTTTGTGGAGAAACACACTATCCTTAAGCTTGTTTAAACTATGTCCTACCAAAAATAAAGGTGAACTCTAGTATAAGAGGAAATTGTTACAATTGTATGGGTATGCAAATAACTTTACTATATACTGCTGGTAATAACCAAATATACGGTTATATCAGTTACAATTTTAACATCATCATATATCACAATGGCTCATATGGGAATTTAAAGGTGTAAAAAGCTTCTGACAATATGGTGTGCTATTCACCGTATTAAACTCAATTGAGTGTAGTGGTCTGTCGTCAAGAATAGAATTCAGGTAGCTAATACAAGTTTTTATTGACCTAAAAAACGTTATGCTATCTAGAAAGCGTATGGGAGAATATTTTAGCTGGTAGTCCCATATGACAATAGAATATAATGAATGATAGGACAGGAAGCGAACAGGTTTTTGGCGAAAAGTATTTCAAAATAAATTTGGATCAGTTGAAAAATGTTGTTACAGAAAATTCTATAATCATAATCCAGATGAACTCATTAAAGACAACACAATAGAGTCTTTTATAATAATATAATGACTGAGATATTGGTGGCACATGGTTGGTTGGTTGGTTGCAGTGGCAGGCCATAAGGTCACTTCAAATGTACCTCAATTAACGATTTTCGCCGTTTTACTACCAGATTCCTCGCAAGAACCCTAGTATAGAAGAGTAGAGACTAAATCCTTCCCGCCGAATTTAGGTAATTTAATAGGTCTTTAATTTTCACCGTTGGTGGCACATAATCGCAGGAGTTATTTTGGGAACATATAGAAAAAGGTGATTAAGAAAGAAATGGATGGACTAAGTTAAAAAAGATATCCAAATACTTGTTGTATCCTAAATCTTCAATGAAATATACAATGGAATAATTAATTGATTTTCAAAGATAATTTAAGAGATGAGATCTTATTGTTTTCTGATATTCTGTAAATTTCTGATAGTTAATCTTTACTCATACAATTTAAATAAATTGTTAAAAATTAATTACATCTTAAAACAAAAACATTTTATTATAGTAATACTTAAAACATTAAAACATAAAAATCCAGTTCAGTGACACGATAGAAATTTTGTTAAAATGATATAATTCTATTGACTGAATTTGTTAGGCTCTATTTATTTTTTCTTATTGTTTATATATTGTAAGCGCTATTAAAAAAGAAGACAACAACAATCGTAATAATAACAAAAAGACCGACACAATCCTCATTTAACTAAATTCAATAGTCAAACTCAAACTCACATTTTGTAGGTCGAAGTGAGTATGGTTTATGGACCGCATTTGCACTTTGTTCATGCTTCTTTTACGATCTTAACACACTTATATTTGTTTTATTTGTATTTCTACGTTTATTTGTTCTTTCCCAGTAGAAAACGGATCGATCCGTCATCGAAGAC